GGGGGAAATGAACAAGAAATTTACAGGAGAAACTGAAATTGCCAAACTCTTTGTGTTTTCAATCTGCACCTGAAGACATCGTTCCCCATTGCCTCTAGAGAGATGAATGGAGAGACAGAAGCACTGGTTGGTCGCCTCCTCATGCACACCATGAGCGGGACTGGACCTGCAGCCTGGCTACGTGCCCTGACTAGGAGTCCACCCGTGACCTTTGGATCTAGAGGATGATGCTCCAACCAAGCCATACCAGCCAGGGCCTAAATTGTCAATACTCTTAAAAACACATGCTCAACTAATGTGACGAAAACTCAAGTTAAAACAACGATGTGTAATTGTACACCTATCCAGTTGGCAAAGCCCCAAGTGGCAGCGGGCCATGGCAAGGAGGTGGCACGTCGGGGACCGCTCCGTGCTGCTGGTGTCAGGGCGGGTTGTCACAGCAACCTGGCGACACCTGTGGAGGAGAGCAGATTCAGGGCGTGGACAGTTATGGGCCCTGAGTTCTGCGGGTGTGGCCTTTGGCCTTGATCACCGCCGTGGAGGGTGGCGGCCCCCTCTGGGGAGAGCGCGCAGTGGCTGTGGGGTGCGGTGCGGTGCACGTGGCTCCCTGAAGTCCCCGTGCAGTCTGGGCTTCAGGAGCTGTGCCTCGCCTGCCCGTGGGCACCTGCACCGGCCCACTGCCTGGCCAGCGCCCTCGTCCCCAAGGAGCCCGTCTTCCTTGCATTCGTCATTTTACTCCTTTTGGTGCATAATCTTAGCGTTGCTTTTCTGCTTTGATTTAGCTCCTTCTGACAGTGCTTTGTCTCGGCAGCCTGACAGGCGGAGTTTGAGGACCGCGCCTTCCCCGCAGCATTGTTTGCGAGCCCGTCCGGGGTTGGGGTGCAGTGTGTGCGTCGTCCGTGCTCTCAGCGGTCCCTCGCAGGACCGGCTCCCCTTCCACTCGCCCGTCTTCACGGTCCTGAGGACCTGGGCTGCTTTACTCGCTGGTGTTTCCGGAAGTGCTGCCCTGCGTTCTTGTGCACTGAGAGTGCACTGTGTGTGCGCACACGTGCGAGTGTTTATGGGGGCACTTCCCTGGTGTGAACTGGCTGTGCAAGTGCAGGCTGGGGGTTCACGAGATGCACTGCCTCTCCCTGTGCTTCGGCCCTCAGTGCCGTAGGTCGCACGAGCCTCGGAGTGTTAGCACTTCTCCCGTGTCACAGGGGAGACGGCCAGTGTGCTGGCCCGTGCACAGCCTCGGGCGCAGCACTGGGTCAGCCTCAGTGGGCTCCCTGTTGTTCTCAGAGAGCAGAGACCACTGCGGCCAGTCCCGAGAGCACGAGCAGACGCAGCTGCTCGCGGCGGCGCTTCTCCAGCCGACTCTCCTGTCCCCTACACAGCCCCGTGTTCGTGCGCAAGGGCTCGTCCCTCACCGGGGCCGTGTCCCCGGACCACTGTGTGCCGGAGCCTCACACCATCCAACTCAGGAGGCCTTCCCAGCCCTGATTCGTTCCCCTTGGTCGGTTCCAAGTTAGATCGACCAGTGTTTGTGGTTTGTCGCAGACTCGAAGGGTAGTTACCAGCAGTATCTTGCAAAGCTTTTTTCTTGTTTCATCGATCCACTTGTTTGTTTACTAATGAGTTGAAAACCCTTTAACTTGGAAACAACATCCTGTGGTGCCGTCTCGGAGTGGCTGAGAGTCGCCAAGTTCTGTGCTGCCCGTGGCATGCGCAGCCCCCTCCCCCCTCGCCACCCTGGCGACAGGACTTCCCACCCTCTCCCGTCCCAGGAGCAGGGGCAGCAGCTGGCTGCACAGGGGACCCTGGCCCCGGGGCCCTTGGGAGGGACAGAGGTGGTCCACTTCTGCGGCTTCGGGAGGAAAGCCCCTCCCGCAGGCCTGGCCATCACCACGGTGCTCCTGGAAAGGCACAGCCGGACACTTTCCCGAGGATGTTGTTGGCACGGGTGACAACAGCCACGCCCACCAGGGGCTCATCCGTGAGCAGCGCTTGTGTGCTTCCTGCTTTCGTAGTATCTGGAGAAGAAAAGTGCGTTCCCATGAGCCCTCACCGCAAAGCCGACTGGATTTGCGTGTCAGGAATTCTCTGCCTCGTGAAAAAGCGAGCTGGAGGCTGCAGGCCGGCGGGTTAATGGTGTGTACTTTGGCTGCCGACCCAATTGCGGAAACGATCCATCACTGGGCATTTGATCTGTTTGCAAACAGAGTGATGGAGGCGTTTCTGACAAGGAGCGGTGTTCCTTCCTGGCCCCACACCTCTGCACGGCGGCCTCGTCAGGGAGGTGGGGACCCCACAGCCGGCGTTTTGCCACCGCATGTCGCTTCCCGCCAGGTATGCAGGATCGCCCTGCGCGGCGGTCTTCCAGTCGACTGTGTTTGCAGAGCGGGCTGCTGCTGTCGGGGCTCCAGTCTGAAAGCAAACCGGGGTGGGGTGTGGCCGCTCAGCGCGGGAGTGGGCTGCCACCGAGGCCCCACACTCCAGGCACCCGGCTTGCCTGCTGAGCTGCCTGAGGAGCGGGCTGCATCCGCTGTGGGCACTGGCTCATGCCGGCGCCTGGGGGCGGGGGGACGGGGGGGACCTCAGGCCGGTCCCAGCCGTCTCAGGAGCGGTCCCTTACTGTGTTCCATTTTCACATGGGGCCGGCACCTCCTGTGCGGCTGCTCCGCTCTGCCTTGGGTCCTCGCCCAGCGCCCTCCGAGGGCTCGGCTCTGTGGGTGACCACTGGGTGACCGCTGCCGCCGAGGCTGTCCCGCTGCAGGGGGTGGGGCGCCCCCGCGGGCGTCTGCGTTCCTGGCAGGGATGCCGCGGTGACGGGACGGCGTGGTGCCAATGGAGAATTCATAAGCACTCTTGACAGTGAGGTTTATAAATATGTAAAAAGTGCGTTAATTGTTTTTAGCAAAACAGGCAAGGAGTCAATATTCTCAGGCGCGTCAAACACACCGTTGACAGGGGCTGCGGCCAGAGGGCCCGGAGAGCCGGCCCGGGCGCCGCTCCGTGCGACGTCGTCGCGGCCGTGATAGATGAGGGCCCTGAACCCTATTGATAGAGTGGGTTCGACGTGGGGAAAGTTAGCTGAACTTTGACTTTACATATTCATTAGAGCTAATTATGGATTTTCTGACTCTGTGAGTCACAGTTTCTGTGCCTGCACTGGCAGCGTGTTTCCCACTCACCTGTTGTAAACTCCGTAATTTTAGATTGGCGGCAGCACGCTCGGTGAGGCCACGGTTTCAGTGTCCGCGACGACACCGTCTGCCTGCGCTGCTGCGGAGTGTGCTCCGCCCAGGCGAACTGAGCCTCCCGTGAAAGCTGACGGCGAGGCGGCCCCGAGCGTCCTCTGTCCCGGCCCCCGGCCCTCTGACGTGGCAGGGCTACAGCTGCCGGCGTCAGAGAGGGGCCGTGCCCAGGCGTGCCCCGTGTGTCCCAAGGCGCCGGCTCTCCTCCTGCCTGCGCCCCGGTCACGCAGGGCCCGACGGTGTCGTGACGCGGGTCCCGGTGTGAGATGTGCAGCATGCTGATGACTGCTGAGCATGCTGCGCTGCATTTGGAAGTCCTCGTTACGAGGAAACACAATTGTGACTATGTGGACGGTGGGCGTTCACTCGACTCCTTTGCAGTACACACAAACCCCAGATTACTACATCGTCCATCTTAAACTCACTTGACACAATCACTTGACACTGCTGTGTGTCAGCTCTCTCGGTAATGCTGGGAGGAGAGAAACACTGTAACAGCATTTCCGTGCTGAAGAAACAGACCCCCAAGGCAGCTTCCGCCTCGGTGTGTGGCCTCGGGCCGGGCCTGGCAAAGGCCTGAGGCTGGGCCGGGTCTGGGCCCGGGTCAGGTGTTCCTGCATGCCCCTCGAGAGGCAGGGGTGCTTGTGGGCCATGGGGCCCACTCACCAGCAGGCCGAGCTGTGTCTCTGTGGGGCTCCCCCACCCCCCAGAGGCCACGCTGCATCTCTCCAAGGCCCCCCGCCCCCCCCAAAAGGCCTCGCCGCCGCGTGTCGGCTGGCCTGAGCAGCTTGCATCTTAGTGGCCCAGAGCAGGGTGGGCAGATCCAGCAAGCTGAGCTGTGGCTTTGGCACTTTCCCGCCTTCGTCAGGCACTCACGCGTGCGCACACGTGTGCAGTGTGTGGGTTCTGGGCGGGACGGAAGGTGTGCTGCTGCTCAGCTGTGCCAGGGTGGCTTCCCTGCCGAGTGCTACACGGGACAGCAGAGCTGAAGGTGTGCCCCAGCAGGACCCGTCCAGGGCCTTCACACACCCCTTTAACATGTACCCATGTATACACGTGTGTGCGTGCACACACACAGACACCTGTATGCATACCCCACACGTCTGTGCACATGTGTATACATGCACCGCACACGTACACACACCCACACAAGTATGCCAACATGTACACACACTTATACACAGACACATGCACACACCTACACACATTAAAAAACACCAAGTCAAGTCTGCATTTCAGATAAACAACCAGTAACTTTTAGTGACAGACGTTTTGTGCCACCCTCCCTTGGCGGCCAGCCCGGCCCCTGTAGCTTTGCCTTTTCCTGAGTGGAGAGGGCAGGGCCCCAGCCCCGGGGGTCACCCTGCCGTGTGTTCACAGTGAGGCGGTGAAGAGGGGGGACAGCGTGTGGAGCCGCGGGCAGGGCAGGGACAGCGTGTGCCATGACGGGGCCATGTCCAGGCACTCCCGCCGGGCTGAGCCCTTGCCCGCTGGGCCTCCGGCCCTCACGACAGAAGGGAGCTGCCCTGGACGGCCCCCCTGGGGGAGGATGTGCCGCCGGCAGCTGGCTGCAGGCAGCGCCTCCTGGTGTTCGGAGGCAGGAAGTCATCCGAGCAGAGCGCCTCAGGTCCCCGTGCCCGGGGCTGAGCGACAGCGAATGCACCTCCGGCTCCCGTTCGGAGAGCGCCTGTCCCTGGCTCAGGCCGCTGGGGAAACGCCCACACGCCGCTCTCTCACCTGGTCTCTCTGTTTGCTCCGCAGGCTCTGGGAAGCTTCTATTTTCTCCACGAGTCCTTAAAAAACATCTACCAGTTTGACTTCAAAGGTAAGACTCCACGCTGTCAGTTGCTCAGAGAGGGCGGCACGTTCTGAAACCGCGAGCCAGAGCCCGGGTCTGGGGCCAAGCGCAGGCGCTGCCCCGTGCTTGCTGGGCGAGCCCACGGGTCTGCGTCGGGAAGACTCGCCCGGGGCTGCCTCTGACGTCACGGCCCTTGTCACGGCATCTGGGGGCCCCGGGGCCGCTTGCCCCAGGCCCGACGCACCGCAGTGTCGGCCGTTCAGCCAGGCGCGTTGGAGCCCCTCTCCCCCCCTCGGCAGCGTCGCACCTTTGGGTGCGTGCAGACTCTCCAGAGCCCCGCCCGCCCTTGGAGCCCTTGCTCGTGTGAAGGGCCCCTTCAGCAGCGACAGCGGCGCTCTCAGGCCCGGCGTCTTCGCTCGCTCGGGGGGCGGCCGGCTCCGACAGGCTGCGGGCGCAGGCGGTTCCGTCCGGGCCGAGAGCAGGGTTCCCACCAGCGGGCGCTCGTCACCGGCCCTGTCACCTGAGGATTCTTCACACACTTTTAAACAGGAGCGCCTGACTTTCCCACCAACGGACGTGGGGAGAGACAGGCCATGATCCCGATAGACAGGGTCCCGAGCGCGGCCCGTCCCCACACGGGGGCCGGCGGCTGGGGGGGGCGCCGCCGCCCCACGTGCGCCGTAGGCTGGAACAGGGGCCGGTCCGTGCACCTGGTCCTTTCTTGACGTGACTGTCCGCCTGCGGCTCTGCTGCCGAACCAGGTCGGTCGGGAAGGGACTGCTGGCCCGCGGTGCGCGTGAGACTGTGTGTCGGAGGGACGTGTGACTCCAGCACGGCGTGCCTGGGGCCTGCACATGTCAGTGACCGGACCTGTGGTAGTGACCGGCAGTGACTGTGCTCAGAGAGCTAAGGCGTGAGAGGGATTTGTGTCAACCTGAAAACACTCAGTGTCCCAGCATGGTGGGGTGCTGGTGTGGGGCTGCAGGTGTGGGGTGAGGGTGCAGATGCAGGACACAGGGTGCGGGGTGCAGCCGACACCTCAGGCAGGGGATGCTGCCTGCCCCTACTCTGCAGCCCGTGCATTTCAAAAGCGCCTAGGCAGAAACTTCAGGACCCCGAAAGGTACAGGTGAGAAGAGATGAAAGTGACTTCCAGCTTCAGGTTCGACACGTAAAGAGCTTGGAAACCGTCACCCCTGCCTTCACAACAAGGAAAAGCTGGACAGCCCTTCTCAGAGCCCTTGGTGAGGCGAGGTCACAGGGCACACCGCGGCGCAGAGACAGGCGCCGGCCCACGCACGGCGCTCGCCGTGCAGGGACCAGTGCTGTAGCCGCCCGGAGCTCCACACGCAGGTGCTGACACAGGCTGGAGCCGAGTGCAGGAGACGCCTGGGGCCCGCACACTTCTGTGTGTTTCTCCGGGAGCCCCACCACACCCTCAGGGTGGAGACCAGAGAAAAACTCCCCCAAGCCTCTGGCAGGGGAGGGGAAGCCGCTGCTTTGAAATGGGGGGGAGGGGGCGGTGCTGAGAAGCACGTGTGGGGACACACGCTGACCATGAGACTGAGCCGCACTCGGGCGCAGTGCAGTCCCCCATCCGCCCAAACCGCAGCACCGCAGCTCCCAGCCGGGGCCCGGGCCCGTGCGGACCAGAGTGTCACAGGAGCCCTGTGACGGCAGAGGAGACAGGAGCAGGGCCCTCGAGGATGCTTTAGCCTCTGACCGTGCAGGAAACCCGGCCTGGCTCCTTGCCAGGTCAACGTAAAACCTCGCAAGAAAGGACTGTCTACCTCACTTTCTCCTGCCCAGTTATTTACTTGCTACTTTCAACCAAAAACTACAAGGCACTCAAAAATGTAAAAATACACCCCGAAGAGAACAAGTATGCATAGACTCAGATAGCACATAGGTTTGGAGCTTTCAGAATGGGACTTAGAAATAACTGGTTAATTTGCGGGGTCTGATGGAAGAGCGGACGTGCAAGAGCAGGCGGGTGACGCGAGGGAAAGACGGAGACGCTGCGGAAGAGTGGAGAGGGGAGGCCGGTGCCAGAAGCGCTGGGCAGAACGGAGGAGTGCCTTGGACGGACTTGTCCGTCGGGACATTGCTGAGGGGAGGCCCAGCGACCTGGACGGTGTGGCATCAAGAACTTTCCAGACTGAGAAGACAGAGAGGGAAAAAGAAGAGCAAATGTCCAAGAACCGTGGCACAGCTACGAAAGGTGTAGTGTGTGTGTAACGGGGATACCAACAGGAAGAGTATGGGACAGGAAGGGACAGGAAGGAACAGAAGAAACACCGGAATGGCGAAGAATGTTCCAAAGGTAACAATGGACATGGAGCCACATGTCCTGAAAGCCCAGGAACCCTCGTGTAGGATGAACACCAGGAAATCTGTGCCTAAGCACATTCCATCCGGACCACAGCAGGCCAAAGGCGAAGAGGGAGGGTGGGCTGGACCTCGGGGCTTGGAGAACCAAGGACTACCCTCGACTTCTCTTCAGAACGATGCAAGCAGGGAGAGGGGTGTGACGTGCTTACATTGTTGGGGGGGAAACAACCTAGAATTCTACATAAAACAAGCAGATTGTCCTTCACAGGTGATGGAGAAGGAAGGACTTTCCCAGACAAACCGAAGTTGAGGGCGTCTGTTTCCGGCTGCCCTGCCCTGGGGACATGGGAGCGGGCTGCTGGGGAGCCGGGAAGGGACGCGGGTGAGAGACGGCCGGAGGGCGTCGGCGGGGACAGGTGAGGACGGAGCACCGAGCTTTGCGCTTTCTGCACTGGGGGCGGTGGGTGAAGTGAATGACACGGGTGCTCTCAAGTCGGGAGAGAGGAATTGGGGCGACGCGTTGCAGCACGCGAGTGCTGTTTGTGAAGGTGCACGGTGCCGTTTGGACATGGACGTGGGTTAGTGGTAAATGTGTGTTCAGCCACTGAAACGTTTTTGATGAAGTGTAATCGATACGTTAAAAGAAGAGAGAAGACGAGTCATGTAAGAGGCCCAGTTGAACCAGAGACGGCAGGACAAGGACGGGAGACAAGAAACAAGGGAGACAAGAAACAAAGAACAAAGGCAACAAACAGAAAAGTTACAGATGCGGAAGGTGTGCCTCCAACTGCAGCAACAATTACTTTAAACGTAAATGGTCTAAATTCACTGATGGAAAGACAGGCTCAGAGTGGTTACAAAAGACCTACGACCCAACCACCCAACCGTGTGCCGCCTGCCGGAGACCCCCTGGGATGTGCGCGGAAGCAGGAGGACGATGGCTGAAGGGCGGGGCCAGGAAGTGCCCGGCCCACTCCCCACTCCCACAGGAAGGAGGCCGGGCTGGCTCTGTGGGCCTCAGACAGAGGGGACGCGGAGTGAGGAGAGCCACCCAGGGGAGGGAGGGTCCACAGCGGTGAAGGGCCGGTTCTCGGAGAACACGGGACAACCCCTCACGTGTGTGCGTCTAACAACAGGCCGTCGAGGCACCCGAGGCAGGGACGGGCAGCACTGCCGTGAGAAGCACGTAGGGGCGCTGTCACAGCTGCACACTTGACTCCCTGCTGCGGGAAGGGGCCAGTGAGCAGGCAGACGGCCAGTGAGCACAGAGCTGAACCCGCTGCACCCGCGGCCACCTGGTCTAATCGGAATTTCTAGGGACAGTCCACTCAACAACAGCAGAACTGGTCCTTCTCAAGTCACATGGAATAGTCACCAAGACAGACCACATGCTGGTCCACAAAGCACACCTCGCTGAACTTGGAAGGAGGGAAACCATACAAAGCATCCTTTCAGTCACAGCGGAGTTGCAGGAGAAACCAGTGATGGGAAGATAAGTGGGAAACCCTCAGATACTCGGGATATTAAACAACTCACTTCCGAATAACACATGGGCCAGAGGAGAAGTCTCGAGAGAAATTTGAAAAACAGTTTGAACTAAATGAAAATGAAACACAACTTACCACAAATGTCAGGGTGTGGTGAAGCAGTGCGTTTGTACCAGCAGTAGATGCACAGTCAATAATCGAAGCTTCTGCCTTGGGAAACAAGAAGAAAACAAATTCAATCCAAAATAGGCGTAAGAAAAGAAATGATAAAAATTGGAGCATAAATCATAAAAATTGGATCATAAATGAAATTGAAAACAGGAGCTCGATAAAGAAAATTAGCAAAACTAGAAGTTAGTTCTTTGAACACATCAATAAAATCGATAACCTCTGGCCAGGCAGACCAAGGGAAACAAGAAGACAAACTGCTAACATTAGAAATGAGAAGGAGCCATCACTCCCGACCCTGTGGACATTGAAGGGTAATAAAGGCGTCTTATGAACATGTCTGTGCTTATGAATTCGATAGCTCGGATGGACCGATTCCTGTAAAGAAACAGTCTACCAAACTCACACAGAGAGGACTAGATCATTTGAATAGGCCTTTATGTATGAAAGAAATGGAATCAATAAGCAATAACCCTCTAAAAAAGAAAACATTAGGCCCAGATGATTTCAATGGTGAATTCAACCAAATGTTTAAGAATGTTTGAGAAATTATACCCGTTCTCTATAATCTCTTCCAGACAATAAAAGCAGAGAAAATACTTCCAGACTAATTTTATGAGGCCCCATTACTCTAATACTAAAACCAGACAATGACGTTACAAAAAAAAAGGAAAACTACAGGCAAATATCTGTCAGGAAGATAAAATGTAGGTATTCTAAAGATAAATTAGCAACTAGAATTCAACCATGTGTAAGAGGAATTGTGCAGTACGACCAATTGAGGTCGTTCCTGGCATGCAAGGCTGGTTTGACATTCAAAAACAAATTAATGTAATCTATCACATCAACAGACCAACGAATAAAAGTCACATGATCATATTAATAGACGCAGAAAAGCATTTGACAAAATTCAACACCCATGTATAATAAAAACTCTCAGCAGACGAAGAGCAGAGAAATTCCTCAAGTTGGTAAAGAAGGCTATAGAACCCTACAGCTAAGGGAAGCCTTAATAGTGAGGAACTAGGCGCTTCCCCCCAAG